CACCCAGATGGGGAAAATCTATACCTTTTTTGTACAAGTCCGCTATTATTTCTGAGTCAATGCCCCAGATTCAAGCCTCTGTACAACCTACTGAAGAAACAGCTTCAGATTGCAGACATTGAGTTTTTCCCAAGACACCAAACTGCAGCAATATCAACCCTTATGATCTTTTCCTCAGGCTAGTGCATTTGGGCTCATCTTTTCAAACTTAAGGCCTGTGCCTATGAAGACCTTAATTTTATGAAAATAGAAAGGATTCTAATCCAATATGTCTGTGAAGAAAAAAAATTGAAATCTAGGTCATTTTGGAATTCCATAGCCAAATATGATGCACTCCAAAATGGCATCTTTTAAAATTCAATATTATGACTCTTCTCTGTTTAACACATGGAGATGGCATTTCGGTTCACAGCTAGTAGTTCAGCACAGGAGCAGATATGTATGATTCAAAATCTCCTAAGTCTAACTTCTAATAGATGGAAACCGCAGAAGTTCCATAACAAAACTTAAAAAAAAAAAAAAAAAAACACCAGCAAAGTCCTTGACTTCAGTAAATCTTGAAAAGGTGCAAGAAAGCAAGCAATGCAGTCAGAAAAGCTATCTTGGGAAGTGAAAGAGAGAGGGGATCAATTTGTTCCCAAGTAGCATAAAGCCTAATATGCCTGAAACAATTAAAAAAAAATCTCTTATTTATTCATTTTAGATTAAGTAGTTAGCAGATTTGTCAATGCCACTGTAGTGAAGTACAGGAGATTTATCTCCATAATGCAGATTAATGCAGATTTAATGCTAAAGCTAACACACACAAATCATACAATCATACAAAACACTGATTTTTACCTAAGAAAATAAACATTCTCAACAAAAGCATTCACTATTTTATTCAGTAAAGAGAGAAGATACTTATTGCCAAATTCCTGAACAGCTTTCTAAGTCAACAACTAGAAATAGTAATTTGAAAGGAATTCTCAGCTTTCTAAGCAAGTTATGAGCTCTGCAGTGCCTGAGGATACCAACAGTGTACATTTGAGAGCTATTTAACAAATAAAATGGAGGAAGAATGTTAAAAGCTTTAGCCAACCTAAGCTTTACATTCATATAATTAAAAATGACATTTTTAGCATAATTGTTCTGTCATTTCATCAAAGTTCCTTTTGATGAAAAATGCATATTAGTAGTTTAACATCTAGTAGCCATCAATTTTTAGATACGTGGCAAACATATAAAGAGGTGACAAACATCTTAGTTATGCAACAATATCAGAAAGAAAACAAAGATTTTTTTTTAAGAACAACAGATTCAATCTTCATAATGCATATAATTTCTGAAAAAAAAAGAGCATTCAGATTTTTTTGGAGAACTTAACAACTGAACTTCTTGAAAGATTTATTTTTTCAAAACTGTTAAAAAAGGGGGGGGGCTGCTAACCAAAAAACAACAGAAACAGTTTATTTCTATGTGGTTGTGAGTGAGTACATATGCAGCAGCTGGAAGAAGGATGGGGTCATTTCTTTCACAAACAAAACGATTTGATGCCAGAGCCTAAAGAGGATCTTAGTATCTAGCAGTCCTGGATAACCCTGGGCTACTTTATAAAGCAGTTTACTTATATAAACTTGAAAGTGAGAACCTGAAACTTATGCTTTATGCTGTATCTTTAGCAGGGAGATGCTCAAAGTTTGTGATTGCTGCAGTTACTGTGACTGTTCTTTGTAGAAGCGTTCCGCACAGAAATAACATTTTGCTTCTGTATGTGCCTCAAATTGCTTAGCTTGACACAGTCAATAGCTGGTTCATGTAAAATACTTTTTTTGAATTCAGCACACACTCTTTTGGTGCCAGTGTCATCAATTCTGCATAAAGAGATAAAATAATCTCTGTTCTCCTCTCATTGCCTCCTCCTTATTTATCCAAACATTGCTGACCCTTTTTTTTTGACACAAAATAGAACTTTTTGTGTTCAGCTGAAGGTCTTTTGTAAATCTGTTAAGAATCATTGCTTTCTGGGACACAGATCCCATTTTTGCAGGAATGTCCTTTCCCCTGCACTTCAGTGCATAGCTGTGCTCCTAGTCACACTAAATCATCTCATTCCAATCGATTCAGCTCTCTGAAACCATTTATAGAGCGGTGTACAAATATCCTATTTCCTCTTCCCAGCCTACCACTTAATAAAGTACAGTGTCAAAAGCCTGACGATCACAGCTTCAAATGCCAGGCCAGACATGGGTGAAGCCTGTCTGCAGATAGACCTCATCTCCTTGCTGACCGTCGTGAGGAGGCTTTTTCGTACATCTGATCTACACCGTGGTCACTGTGCATTTCCCCAATAACACCAGTCTCCTTGAGGGAAGGATCAGTTGTTACTATCAGGCTGTCTCCTGCTTTCTAATCTGCTGGTCATTAAGACTTCCACAAGTATTTACCTCCTTTAATTCCCCACTTCCTTCAAAGGTGGTTGCAAGTGAGACTGGAAAAAAAAAATCCAACCTTTTGGACTGTTCTTGAAAACACTTGAAAATGGGTGGGTTCAAACATAACCGGTGACAGTTGTTTTAGTGTTATTAGTGTAAATAAAGAAAGAAATATAAAAGGAACTTACCGGTAGGAAAAAGTAGTTGTTCTGTATACACCACTGTGCCTGATCACTTGAATTAGGAAAACTTGCATTTGATGAATTAAGAACTGAGGGAAAAGCTTTCACAGCATTATCCAGGAAAAACTAGAGAAAAACAACATGTAATTCATTAGCCTGTCAGCTACGTAAGGTCAAAAAAGGCAAGAGAAATGCATAAAGCCTTGCCAGTAATCATTTAACTTCAGTGTTTCACTGCAAATAGAGAAAACCAAAGGAAAGTGGCATCGCTTGATTATCTGTTCTTGCAAGCTTCAGACAAAAACAACTTCGTTAACCTGTACCTGACACTTCCTCTTTCTGTAGGAGATTCTTGCGGTTATGTTGGTCTCATGAATCAGCATACATACATCATCTAATATATGCACAACGATAAAATTGATTCAATATGGAAAATAATTCCTGGATTTGCCTCAACAGAACCCTTATTTAAATGTATGAAGAATTAAAGAAAAGATAGTAAGTCTGTAATGAAGTCAATTTATGCAGATGCAACCTTCTCATATTAATAATGACAGTAAAATTGCTACTAATCTTATTGAAACAGAAGATTGGAAATGGTAACTCCTGGATTGTGAAATCCAGCCTCCTGTTGAAGCAAAACTGCTGCATTAAGGCCACGCACATTTAATGAGTTAGGTCTCTTGGAGCACTTATTGGGTCTCAGCACTTTAGTGACTATCAACCCTTTCTAAGTTTAACCAGATTCAATGTTTTGCTCTCGTGCTTTTAGATGCCTGCTTGTACCTCACATAAGCAGCGCTCAGGCACAGAATGAAGCATCTTAACACGGTGCAGCACATTGACTTGATCACACCACTACCACTGTGAGACCCTCTAGCCTACTGGCATTGGCACGTTAGCCAGTTCATAATTAGAATATTTTTTCCCACCCTGCTCTTCTCCAGTTTACTTCTATCCCAGCAAAAAAAATGTTCCATTCATTCCGCTTAAACAAACCAACATCAAAATGGCTTATTGATTTGCTAACTGCACATAGTTAACCAGCAATCAAAGAACTGTATGTTCATTGGATCAATATTAGTGATGCAATGGATAATCCACAGCACTAGATAGAAAGAGCTCATGCACTCTACTAATAGCTTCTATGGTACGCTATATTAAGATCTTCCCCAAAGACTATATTAAAAAGTACCTACTACATTTTTGCTATCTACAGCAGTGGTTACATTAGTAAAACATCATGATAGCCTGGCTTGACATATTTCTTAAGCCCAGGATGTATTTTATTCCATTCTCAATATTCCTGTGTATTTTTAGTGATTCTTTGAAATTTATTTTAATGCTAAATTCTGAGGTCAGATAAATGTACCTTGGTTTACTCACATAATTCCTCCCTGCCTTATGCAACTGTGAGCTGTTCTCTTACTATTTCTTTGTAAGCAGTATCAAATGTATCTGCTCTTTTTGTGAATGTGAAGTAACTGTATATAGTTTCAGAATCCCATTTCATACACTCCTTCAAAAAATAGATTATATACCATTAAAAATGCCAGTGAATAGATATTTTATTTATAGATATATAGCATGTATGTATATATATTTAAATGTATTCATCTCATAGCATTTTAATTTTGCTTTTTGAGCTTTGTACAGGACATTTCTGACATAAATGTTATTTGCATACACAGAGTGCTATATGAAATGCACTATAGCTATGAAACCTAAATAAATATAGAAAGGAATAAAAAGGATTGGAAATGTTATCATCTCCCATGAGCCAAACAGTATTTATTTCTGAATGATGTGTTTGTACTTGTCTTTCATGTCTTTCTTCAGTTATCTACATCTGCTATCACGCTTTGGAGACATATATTATTCCTCAACATAGTATTTTTTTCCAAGACAGCTCAGTGCTACTGAGCAGTCACACCTACGCAAATGACTCAAATGAAAGCAGTATTTTTTTATGAATACCAATGTTTGGCAGTGAATATTTGAGCATACTACCATTAATTTCTCATTTTAACTTCATATATTCTAGCAGCTTTTTCTTCTCTTGTGTTTTTATCATCTACAATCTTCTGTTGCAATTTTTTTTTGCCTCAGATAGTGAAAATGCCTTCTGTGCTAATATTCCCTTAAACGGAAACGATGTGGTGACAGATGTACCCCTACTCCAAATGGAATAAGCTTTTACCTGGCCAGGAGTCTGCAGGAGGCAATAACACTGTGATTTACATCTCACTAACAATGAAGTCGATTTCCTCACAAAGACACTTCAAACACATATGTATAACACCACAACACAGCAGAATCAGGGCTTCACAGCAAACAGGGGCTCACACAGTCTTGGAAGACAGGTTGCCAAGCTGAACAGGTTGAATGTCACCTTACTCAGCAAGAGGGACTGTTGATCTCCTTGTTAATCCCAAGCTAAATTTGATCCCATCGCCATTCTCTCTTCATTATCAAAATTACATGGAGAAAGAATATGTAAAGATTCTAAAGGAAAATATTAAAAAGCATCTTTGTATCCCTCCTGCTTTCCACTAGAATCCCAAATTTTAATGCCATTTCTCACTTTCCCAAGCTTCTAGGCAGAAGAGGCTGGAACACTAAGTACTTATCAAGACTACTGAGCACTCTGTGAGTAAACTAGAGGTGATGCTCAGACATGGGTAAGCTATCTTTGATGGGCAGGAAGTCATGTAGGTTCATCCTTGTTGGACGGCGAGCAATGGGAAGACAGCATGACTCGTTCTCCCCACACACTTGGAAGACACCAAAACGCCAGCAAGCGTTCTTTCCAGGTGCTAAGTGTCAAGTGTTTGCAAACCCATCTGCTAATGCATCTCTGTGCCAGGAATCATCAATGTATTCATGGCAGAATTCAGTGAAAGGAGGATCTTTCAGGGTGCATCTCTGTGCCAGGAATCATCAATGGCAGAATTCATGGCAGAATTCAGTGAAAGAAGGAGGATCTTTCAGGAATCCTGAGCACTGTTCCCTTAGACTCCACGAATCTCAGAGAATGGTGAGGCAGACTCATCTGGTCTGCCAGATGAGTCTATAGCCATCCCACTCAGCTTCCAATAAAAATATTTTTTCATGTCCTCTTTAATACAGGCCAATATCACAAAAACCCTTTATAGTTCTCCTCAGTCATTGATCGCTGCCTTATGTATCGCACCAGATTTGGTGCCATATATAAAACCCCCATTTTCTATGTGGCACCAGATCTAATCCTCAATGGAAGCAATATTAGTCATTCACTCCCTTCAGTTGAGGAGTATCTGATGCTTAGGTCACATTAGCTGTTTTTTTTTTAACTTTACCAATCATGATTACACACCCCTCAAACACTAAGACTAGATTCAGATGCCTGGTGAAACAGCTAATTTGGAATAAAATTACACCCCCACTCTATTCTAATGCCCCTTGACCATAAAGACTGAGTTTCATTTGACGTTTTGGTCTTAATTATGATTTATTAGGTGTGGGATGGTTAGACAGTTTTTATCTCCATTAAATCTTAATGGTTGCATTTTGCCTTTTCCTGCTTAAAGAGTTCATGGAAATAAATGCAGTTAATGGACTCTGCTATTAAGTACATGTTGCTTGGAGATATAATGATACTTCAGAGTCTCTCCCACAATTTGCTATTAATATTAAGGAAATGCAAATTTCACAATCATCACATTTAAAGTTTTTTTTTTTTTTTTTTTTGCTAGTCAAACTACTAAGGTTTAGTTTCAAGGTGGGAATGGTACTTAAAATTATCATCTAGTGAATATCATGGAACATGATTATTTGTAATGGTGCAGTCCTCACTGACAAGGCACAAAGATGTCAAATTACAGCCTATTAAGTATTTCTGTATCATTCAGTCCACATAAAAATGGACTTGAACCAATACAATTAAAATCTTTTTATAGAAATGATGCAATGAACAAGTATTTTTTCTGCTAAAATGCCTTTTAGTAGTCTTTTAGTAGTTGAAGACCATGTTTCATGTGGGCTATACACAATAAAAGAACTTCAGACTGATGAAAAAAAACCACAATAGTTGCTAACTTTTTTATGTTTTTTTTTTTAATTAAGAAAAGATCACACTGCTGCATAACCTCAGATTCAAAAATTCAAAAATAAAGTAGACTCTAGATTTGAATGGCATAGGTTATTTAATTTCTTCTTATAGATTTACAGAGTTCAGAATAAAAGGAAAAGTCTTATTTGACCTCCTTCAGTTTACAAGCCACTATATCACAGAGCTTTGTCCTGTAGTAAGCCAGAAAACTATTTCATGGCTAAAGTATATGTTCTGTAATGATATATAGTCTCGATCTGCGGACAAGAAATGATGGAGAATCAACATCTTTTCAGTGTAATTGTTCCAGATGCTAACTGCCTTCACTGTCAAAAAGTGAATCTACTTTCTCATTTGAATGTGTATAACTTTTATTCCAGGCAACTGCTTTTGCTTTTCTCTTTCAGCCTTAATCATGAAATTAGATTAATTTTAAATTCTTGAACCTTTTTCTTTGAGTCTAACTCCTTATAAAATGCTTACATATGCTTATATAAAATATAAAACATACATTTTAATATATTTAAATTTCTTCCTGAAAAGAAACCCAACAAAACCAAAACTAGGATCCTAAAACAGACAAAACAGAGAAGGTGCTAGCATCTCTCTCCTTCTGTGAGAAATGTAAGGTTTCCACATTTAAATGCCCACATAATGCCTTATATCATTCTGACAGGCTTAGCACTTACTGTTAACAAATGACTGACTGAGGATTGCCTGAGATGTTATGGGAAAACAAAATATAAAAGTGCAGATATGATCAATCTTTAAAGTGCTTTATGAACCTCAAGTGGCAAAAGCCACCTGAAGTAACACTGAAGCAGCAATTTCAAAAGCACTAAAGTGCAAATTTCATTGACTTGAAATGTGACTAATGCCTGTGCAGTCTTTAAGAACATTTTCTCTCTTTCACAGGTCTACAAAAAGCAGCAGACAGAGACTATAAGGCAAAACAAATGAAGGTTTTTGATTCCCTATACTGATCATGCCATTAAGCAAAACATCCTCCAGAGTGAACAAGGTCAGTAGATTCCCATTTCGTGCAAGCTGATGGCGAACCCAGTGTGTATTTGTTATAGCTACAAAAGAACAATATCACAAGATTTTTTCCTGCTGTGAGAGAAAAGGAAAGCACAAGCTGCAAAGCCTGAAGTCGTAACAAACTTTGAGTTCAGTTCTTTTTAGGCTTTGATAGGACTTAGATTTTTTTCTATTTGAAAAAAAAAAAAAAAAGGCAAGCACTGGAAATTCAATAACACATTAATTATGAGAACTTTTATGATCAGCAGAGGACTGTCACAAATCAGTGTCTTCCACACATCCTGAAAGGAAGTATTTCATTCTTGGACTAATATTCTGTTTTTCTTTAATATACTTAGCCAGGATCTGAGCCATGGCTGAGCTTCCTTTGTTTGTTCTGCTTTACATTTCTGTCTTTGGCAATCATCATTATCTTGTAGCTTAATCTAAATAAATTTCAGTACAAAATCAAGAAAAGGACCTTAAAGGAACAAGTAAACAAACCAACAAAAAAACCCTCCTTTCCCCCCTTACCATGTTAAATACAGCCATAGTTAATATTATAGCAGTGGTTGTCAATGTAAGAGTGATCCGTGGCCAAGGGCGGTTTGCAATGATCCCAGATGACTTCAGGATCCACAATAGTGAAGCTGATGCTTTCTTGCTACATTGCTAAGTGGGAAGAGCATGAAACAAATTACATGTTAGTGTATTTAATGACTATAAACAACTTCAGGTTAGAATTAAAAAGATTTAGTGTTGAGGACAGCATTAATATATGAGGATGTTATCTCAAAGACATTGTATAGAAGCATTTGACTGTTTTGTTCTCATTGACAGCCTCCATTCACACATACATAGGTCTGCCGAGGCACAGACTGCTCACGCAGAATCATTTCTGGCACATCCAGGAAATATTATCTATCCAAAAATTTCAGCATAGTGGGGACAAGATTGCCCTTTCCAAATGTCATTTTCAGCTATACTGAAACCTCTATAAAAAAAGGCAATGAAAAGTTCAAGACATCCTCACAAAAATCTTCCCTTTTTGAAGGATACCTGGATATTCTAGCAAAATATGTACAGTAATATTCTTACAGTAATATCCTCCTCTTCAAGTCCATTGTATTTCTAGCAACTTTTTAACATAATTTGCTATTGTGTCAGTGAATTTTTCACACCTTATTGGTTAGATTCTGAATTAATTAAGTCAATTTGAGGAAGGTTAATACAAAAATCTGGACCTCAAGGATGGACATAGAAATGAAGGGAAAAAAAAGGACAGTTCTATATACATGGTCTTTTACCAACTCCTTAAAAGTTACAAAACAAGAAAAATGGATTTTTGATCTTGAAATCCTTGCTCAAATTATGCCTATTTTACACTTCAAACTTTGTATGCATCTCTTAGCAGCTGGCAAATAATCTGATTTTGCATGTGTATTTTAGAATATTTTTGTCGTCTTTCTTTCAAGTAAGTAAGTTCAACTGTGATTACCCTTTAATAAAGTGGTTACCCACTTCAGTAAAGCAAAAATCACAAAGCCTGCACTGCTGCTGTTGTTACAAAGCAGGAGGCATTGAATGGGACCCAGGGAAGGGATCTGACTGGAAACTAATCATTTGGTTATCCATCTAATGTGGTTAAAAACTAATCTAGGAAGTCAGTGATTGTAGATTTATGCTAGACTAAAACAACCATGAAAACATGCCTTAATAAAAAAAACTCTTTGCCTTTATAGCAGAACATCCATAGCTTTAATACAACTTCACAAAACAATATAGGTTATTTGCTCAGGGCTTTTCTTTTAGAGAAAAACAAAATAAAACAGATTTTCTCAATTTAGGGGCAGCTGAAGCAGTTTGTGTATGGAGAAAGCTAGGAAAGGATCCTGGGAACTACAAAGAGTACAAAATGGCGTGGAACTGGTATTGATAAAGCCCTACATAGTGTCTCCTTTCTGAATTATGTCACAGGGAGCTCTACTGTTCAAGGCAAGGCTTTAGGATGAGAAATTTCAAAAAAAAAAAAAAAGACAAGGATGAAAGTAAATTATCTGGACTAAATCAGATACACTTTTTTGCTATCTTGCTGTCTTAAAGTTATCTGACTGAAGGCTTATTACATTAAACACACAGACCCTATCAGTCAATCTCATGACAGATGGAACAACCAAAGCAACCTAAGAAGTGGAGAACAGAAGGCTCTTAATCAGCTATTACAAAGACCATCAAAGGAGAATGACTAGACCATGGCTCCTGAAGTGAAACCTGGCAAGAAGGCTCAACAAAAGAAACTCTTTCTAGAGAAAAAGGACACAGGTATGGAAAGAGAGGCATAAAGACGGATCAGTGGATCCTACAAGCATAGGAAGTTTGAGAAGAGTCAAGTTAAAAAGGAATGACTGCATATAAACCCAGACCGGTCTTTTCTGAATGAGCTTATTCTGACTGAAGAAAAATAATTTTCTAATTATTTTCTGTGTAACTATCCCACTTCTTCTGAGCCAGTGTGTTTACAACTATTAACAAAGTCCTTATTGGGCTGGTCAGCAAGCAGGACAAGATGGGTGCCAGCCTCTGGAAAGGCAGATCGCATGTCTGAGGCAACGGAAAGGCAAGGGAGCAGCAACCAGAGAGTCTAAGACGAGTTTCTGGAGGGACTTGGGAGTGTGTGGGTGTAACCATTTGGAAACAGCAAGCTGGACTGCCTAGTAAGAGACCAGCGTCTGTGGACACCAAGGTGCTGCAATGAAGCACAGTGCAGAACAATCACTATAGGCCTTAAGAGTCCACTGAATTCAATAACTTCTGGAAGTTATTTTCAATTCTAGACTACTAAAAAAACTTTTACAGTAACATACAAAAAACACTAATGTCATAAAAAGAGATGCTTTTGCGGCTTTCTAATACTTAAGTAATAAAAATGGTTGTTGTCTTCTACATAAATGAACAATTTGTATTTTGCCTTAATCTGAAGATTTAAGTAGAAAAATCTGTGTTGAATCCCAATATCTAAATACACAAATTCTCAAGCAGGTCTGTACTAATCTAGCCTGAGAACTCACAAGATGATAGCAATTCTTCCAATGAGAACAAAACTTTGTGATAGAAACAGACTGTATTTTCAAAAGGCTTTTTTTTTTTCTGAATTTCTTCATTTCTTTAAAAACTTATTTTTCTGCCTCTGTTTTATGGAATATTTTTATTTGCACTGTTTAGGCTTCTGACTAAGAAAAGTTCTGGAGAATATATTGAATGTCAGGAAACAATATATCATTCAGTCAGTATGTCTACTCAATCATGAGATTCCATCCTTTTTGCTTTCGCTGGGGAAACTACAGCAATTGCTGCCTTTGACCCAAAGCTAAACAGGAGTACTGTTAGACTGTCACTTCGAAAATGAAGTTGTAGATGGTTATTTCCCTTCATAAAGGAGAAGTAATCAGAACTTGGTGGTACATTTCTTGGCAAGCTGTTTAATAGCAGACTCTGATTTCCAAGGGGAAGAACAACTGTTTATTTGTTACATCTGCCATGGCCACCTGCCTTTTTAAATGTATGGTGGGTCTCTCTAATAGCACAGAAAGTAGCCTACATTAGTGAAGCTGATGGAGCTTCTGGAAGCAAAATTTGTGACAAAACTCTGGCTTGCACTAAAAATTGTGAAACAATTCAGTAGAAATTCCTCAGAAAATGCAACAGCCTACAATTGCTGAGTAGTATTTCTGCATAGGAATTAATAAATCTACTGAATTCTAATTCACTAGTAATTTCAGCAGTTTAAATCCAGTTCATATACTGTGCAATTGACACAGCTGAGTGCTGCTGAGCACCCAGGGAACTCGGGGAAGTGGAGCTGGAGTGGTGAGGGACTCACTCAGATGCTTAGTAGCACTGGCAGAACCACACAGATTGATTTTATTGACACTGTTTATAAATGTTATGTTTCATTTGCAATTTTCCTAAAAAAAAAAAAAAAGAAAGAAAGAAGAAGATGGAAGGAAGGAAGGAAGACATAATTTCTAGTAACATGCAAGCAGAGTAAAACATCAGATCTCAGTAGCAATAGCTGTTGTGTTTATTTTAAGTAGAGCTGGCAGAATATGCTTCAGTGTTTATCATTTACCAACTGGAAATAATAGGTATTTGTAGTAATAAAGGTGACTAATGCATTACCTTTGCACATGAGCACATTAAATCTGGTATGACAGCTCAGCCTGATAGTGAGTAATAACTTATTGTGAATATTCAGGTTATTAAAATGTATCCTGTGTTGTCTTGCCACACACAAAACCTAATTCAGCATTTAATAAAATGAATGCTGTCTTTCTGAGTGAGAGTAAGGGGTTGGTGCGAGGATTAATTGTGACAGCTGCATTGTGGATGAAAGACAGTGTTGCAAGAGCTGTCACATGTCTCTGTCACATGCTAGCAGAGGCTGGAACATCTTGACTGAAGAGGTCTTATTTACAGAGAGCCAGTGAATCATATTTTCTGCAGTTCTAGTACTGCTCTTTTCATTTTGCATTCAAATACAACTTAAATCTTTTACTAGCAGTTTTGTTCTAGAGAACGAAATCAAGAAACAAAAAGCTCAGGTTTGCTCAGGTACCCATTTTCATGTAGTCCAAAGTTTAGTTGGACTACAACAATACTAGTTAGTATAGTCATGTAGACCAAAGTTTAAATCCAAAGAACTGGCTGACTTATAAATGCACTGATTTAAGCTTGAGGAAAAATAATACTCGTACAGAGACACAATTTATACTTTAAGTACTTTTTAACAGTCCTAATCTTGATTAAGGACCAAAGTACTCTTAAAAGGGGTACAGTAACATCATATTGTTGAATGGCATGGTGGAACTTGTAAGTCTACACCATGTATTTGGAATCCCTACAAAATGATTCCAAGTGAGAGTCTATTCAACCTTATATTGGATGCAACTGGTCCAGCTAAAGCCAGAATCCCAAACAAAAAGAGTTAACAACAGGAAAAACTGAAGTTGTTATCAAACTTTTATTTTCCCCATGCTTTGCTGCATTTATTGGCCTTCACAAAGGATCACGTTAAAATGGCCCTATTCTTCACTTCAGCTATCTCATTCAAAGGAAAGAATTGTACTGAGCTGTATAAATATGCCCGTAGGCACGCAGAGCGTAGTCTTGGTCCCTCCAGTGCTGCTTTCTTCCTCCAAGAAAATGCAAACTCACTGTGTTATATGCTATTTTAAGAGAAGGCATTCTCAGCTTCTCCTGTCAAAATTTCTCTAGTCCATGTGAAATATCTAAAGAGCCACTTTTTTAACTGTACAGCACCAGCGTGTCAACTACAACATCTTGCTGCTGGTGCAGAACAGGGCCCTGAAGGAGTGAGCTCGCTGCAGATGTGCCATAGGCACCAAGGAATGGCAGCAGCTACAAACCTCTCTGCCAGTGAAGAGGCAAAGGGGACAGCAAGCCCTGGAACCAGATTATCCTCCAACCGCAATGGATTGCATCAAATACCACGCTGTCCTTCCCTCTTAGCAATTTCATGTTTCAGGACATGTGCCAATTCTAACTATTAATTTCTATGGACAAACAACTGTTTCTAGGAGAATTCTTAAATGTTCCTATGCTCTGGTTGCTCAAGACCAGATACTGGATTATATGCACCAGAGATACTATCTATACTTAGCCTTGTCATATGTGATACCTCCTCACCACCATTTGATAGACATATTTCTTTTCTTATTTAATCAATACTCTTATCATTCCAAAACAGATTGAGTTGGACCATACTGCTATGCTCCTGAACAGTAAAATCAATTAATAATAAACTCATAGTTAAAAAAAAAGGACTACATATCTCTTCTTAAAATAATTTGGCTTTATTCAGTAAGAGACAGGAATTTTAGCATTACTTTTTATTATTTTTATTTATTCTTAGCAATCACACAAACACACACACACACACACACAAAAACAGACAAACTTATTCAAGGCTTTTTTTTTAATGCCTTTCTCCTGATAAGTAGTGATGGCAGTCATTTATAATTGGTGGAGATTGCAAAGGGCCAAAGCATTGAGAAAAATGTCCACTGAGAAAAGTTCACAGTGGACAGCCAGATGTCATAATCTGAACCTATTTTTTTGTTGTTTTTGCCAGCAGTGCAACCTGCACTCTATAAATGCTATAACCTTCATGTAAATATTTGACTTCCACTGCAGAATCATTTGACAGGATCAGCCAGGGCAAGAAATCCCTTTTTGCACTTTTCAAAGATTCGTATGGCAACCTTTAAGCACTGTAGATGTGTGCAAATGTCCACATTTACCACCTGCATTCTGCAAGGGAATTCAAAGTGTACTCTTTAGAAAAAGAAGAGGGAAGAAACATACTGGAAAAAAAAAGAAGAAACAAACAAAAAAAAAAGAAAAAGAAAAAGGAGTAATGGAAATTTCCATAGGGAAGCAAAACCCATTTCCACTTCAGCTATGGTCTAAACTTATTTGCTGAAAAACATCTTACCAATACAGTTTATGCATTAGAATAACTGAACCCAAATTGACATAGATGTAAATAACTCAACTTTAGGTTATCGAGGTCACAATGTGATATCTCACAAGTCAGCAAGACGAAATAATAGGCTCCCATTTCTGGGAAATATTCTCAGTACATGAGAGACATAGGGGAAAAAAACCCATTTGCTTGTGGTGTTAAATATTATCCAGTGGCACTACTTCTGAACACTAACTTGGGATATTTGCTTAGCCTTAAAGGGCAGAAAACCACATTTGCATTCCTCCCAAGCTACTCTATAAATCAAAGCCTCAGAGGACCCCAAGAGTCAATATTCCTTGATACCAGTTCATTGACACTTCTCTTTCTAGAACTTTTCAACTTTTCTTCGAAGGACTTATTTTCATGTCATTATTCAACAGCAACACTCTGACTCCAGCAATTTCCTCTTGTATCAATGCCAGATAGTAATCAGCTATGGTATTACATGAGAACTAACTTCTGCTATTAATTTACAACAGTAATTCTAGGACCTTATTCCAAGGATTTCAAATTTTAAAAGAATATTTGTGCTATACCTCAGATAAATTCCTGAACAGTAACATTGTCCCTTCCTTACTTGAAACATGCAAACACAAGTGAAATGTAGGCTAATTCAATATTCTTTAAAAAATATATTGGCTAATTAGCAGCTTCCCAAGTAAAGAGGGAGAAATGACAAAACCCTGGCTCCTCTATCAGCTTCAAAAGCAGGTCCATCTTTGCTCACTGTTGTACTGCATAATGAGAGTCTCTTCCACAGGCACATTTGCTTTGCTTGCATAGAAAAGCTCTTTTTTACTAGCTTGTGGAAGAATGCAGAGCTACAGAAGACCTGGGGATCAAGTGCACCAGAACCTTGACAGGTTTCAGGAAAACATGTTCTTTTAACCGAAGGGTGTGAAGTTAAATCTTGCAATATTTCCACTTATTTCTACTGCAATAACACGGATAGTAATGACAGAAACAATACCCAAAGAGTTTTATTTATTTAATTTATTTATTCTATACCTAAGACACTCATTTTACAAGAGCATCTAGCACCATTGTTTCTTTGTACTACTCAGTGTCCTCCTGATTCCTAAATTCATATTTATAGAATTCCTGATTGCTGCAACCGTTTTTTCTTTCTGTCTTAGAAAAACTATTCTTTAGCTGGAATGTACAACTGCATAGGAAAAAAAAAGAAGAAGAAAAAAACCCACTATCCTATATTTTGACTCAGATGTCTGAGGTTTGTGGGAATAATTCAGTGCTTGGTTTCAAAAGATAAGAAAGCATCGACAACAAGCAGAAATAAGGATTTTTTGTGTGATGTGGTTCACTTTCATGACACCATAAAAACACTTTCAGGAAAAGGATAAATGACCTTGGAAAAAAACAATTAAGCAAGCAGTATGTACTATGCTTAGCTATGCCATACTCTATAAACAAGTGTATTAATCTAGATTACACTCCAAATTCAAATTTCCTTTAATTTCTCATAAACCCTGAGATGTCTTTGTTTTAGGTTACCTCTGTTTGAGAATAAATAAAAGAAGGATAATAATACTTGCTGCTTAAATTGTAAAATGCTAACAGGTTTGCCCGTGTGTTGAACAAAGGGAAATTCTCAAATTCAGTATATTACGAGGTATGAAAATAGGCATTATAAAAAAAGTACAATAAAGTTAAAGCAATATGCCTAAAATGCAAGCATTTACAAGATGGGCCACCTACTACCAGCTCAATAGCAAAAAATTTAGAAAAGACAACTGAGATTTATTTGAATACCTACCACGAGCTGTCCAGCAAAGCAGATAAAAAGGATGAAGGAGAGCAAGAGGAATGCAGCCCCAAATGAAATTCCAAGAATTGATGTTCTACAAGAAATAAGAAAACATTTTTGTGAAAACAAAATTTATGAGTGACACTTTCATAGGAAAACTTTCTTGAATGTGATATTGCTAATGTTATGAAAAGTTGCCATGTGTAAGCTACAATTTGCAAACATCAAAACCATGGAAAAACAAATTCACTTCTTACTAGAAGGGCTTTTCCCTGGCATTTTTAATTTTCCAAACTAATGCATATATAAACACAGCTATTAAAAAAGTCTCTTTAAATATACATACACACGTTATGTATGTGTATAAAGATATTATTTTAATTTCAGGAATGCTGTATTGGCTTTATATCTCATTTTGCAAAACTGTGGCGACAGCTGATATTAATTTCCATACAAGTTCTTTAAATCTCATAATGGATTAAGCGCAGCATTTTTTTTTTGCCTTTAGAAAGTCTGTATTGAAAAAAAATATTATATTATCAACAGCAAAAAGGTAACAATAACTGCTAACTTTCCAATATTAATGTGCTGCAGCAGGGTGCACTGCCTCCAGAAGCTGGAAAATCAATAGCAGTGTGACAGTGATATCTGCTTGTGTGTCTTACAGCTGGAACTTGGGATATCCATGAGGCTGCAGCCCTTCAGAAAGGACTGGAATTTACAGACCGCTCTCTCATGAAGAGGTAGGTATTGAACACCTCAGGGATCTTATTTTGTATGAAATTTGACTGTCTGGGCAGGAAACTGACATATCAGGGAGCAGGAAACACAATAGGAAAGAAGACTAAGCACCATGAAAAAGATAAAACAGCACCAACAGCAAAACTTTAAATAGGAAAATAATGGTTAAGAGTAGACTATGGTCTTCCTGAAATCATCCTCACTCAGCTCACCGTTCTTACTTAACTTTTCCCTGTGTACTACAAATAGGAAAAGCCAAAAGCCAAATAGTAGCCAAAATAGTATCTCTGTCAGTCATCACGTCCCTCACCTGCGGATCTGCTTTCTGTTTTAACCACAGATTTGACAGAACTCCAGAATTTGAAAGTCTCTCTCAGCTGCACTGAGTTCCAGCAAATGCCTTATTTTAGCAAACGTGATCTGCTGAAGATTTTGGCACACAGTTTTTAAAATATGCTTTATGTTTCTTGTTTTTTCCCACAAAACAATAAATGTTACATTTGAAGTTGGCTCCTCCATGAACATATGAATCAGAATTAAAATATACTTTTAATAAAAGCATATGTCTGCTCCATTTGAATGCCATTTGAATTTAAATATAAGTGTTTGAGAAATGATAATACTCAAGATTAAGAGCAGAACTTTGATCCATTTCCATAGATTATGTACAAACACTGGAAAATATTACAACCTGTTTTAAAAACAGTGTTACATAAGCCATTTTCAGGAAAGAATAAAAAAGCATTAACTTCATAAACCAATTTGATGCCATCCTGCTGCCATTAAAAGCATTTTGGAGAGCAATTTATGAGCTTTCCTGCCAATCATCCAGAGAATGAATCCATCATTCACAGATGAAAAACAAACAGCTGGCAATTCCCAGTATATATTTATCGTGAAAATGAACATTATTATTGCTGTTCAATACATGTTCTCCAAGAGCTCCTTGTTGCTACCGATACTTTAAGTCATACATTACTTCATGTAAAACTACAGTTTCTATCCTTAAGAATTTAGCATCCAGTAAATGACAAAAGAGGTGAAAGAAAAGGAATATAATTAACTTACTTATAATTTGGAGAGCATCTTTGTGCAAGAAAATGGGAAGAACAGAAACTGGAGAGTAAGAGAAAGGAAGGGAAAGCACTGGCTGAAGAGAGCTTATTCAAAGAGGATACAATCATGTAGGCTAAGCAACAGCCAGAGAAAAATGTGTGACCCTATGTTTAATAGGTACTGGCAGAGACTTATGGTGGCATCAGGGGTGCTGTACATACTAAAGTGAACAACACTGAGATTTTGAGGATCTGGATAAACAGAAAAGTATTGAGGATAAAGAAAAGGAAAAATGGTATCTTGACACAAAGAGTTGAGTGGTGATTACAGGAGAAAAAAATAAATAAATAAATAAGCTTTTTATTCCCCTGCCACCATCCCACCTCTTTTTTGGTGGGGAGAACAGGACTTTGGTTTCAGTTATGTTAAGCTGACACAATTTCATGCTCCTGGAAGGAAACGAGTGGAAGAAAAGAGCAAAATACTGAAAATTAACTGCCAGCATAAACAAGCCTTGCTTGAGGCAATGACCGCAGAGAAGTCATAACATGCATTTACATTTGTCACTGGCAGACTAAGCTGCTCAAGTAACAGCTCAGCACTTCAGGGGAAACTAACCTTGCCTTTACTGTGCAGAGTCACCTGCTGCCCTGTATCCATAAAACTCTCTGTGGTGAGTTAGGGAACCATCTTGTCAACAGAGCACTGATCACCCCATAAATCAGCTACCTTTTTGTTTAACCAGCTTCTTCCTCTACTTCAAGCCCCTCACAGGGACAAGTCTTACCAATAGCCTGCAGAGGGACAGAGCTCGCAGCTGAGGACATGATATGAGAAATTCCCAGGTTTCAGATACTTTACTCTTAGATATCCTTCCCATAGTACTCTACTTTCATCGGGAAAATTCAATTTTCAGTAATTAATTTTTATGAGGTGGCATGATAGTGGAAAAAAAGTGTATTTACACATGCTAAGCTCTCACTAGTAACTTTTTTAGTGCAAAAATAATGATTCCCTGTGAAGGTAGACATACTGAAAGATGGAAAACAGAAGATGTTCTGTCTACACTCCTGTATCGTCTAGTTAAGTAAGAGACTTAAGGCATAGTTTCCTTAAAAGGACATAGCATATTTCTTTTTCTTGCTAGGAAATCAACATTCACTGTTTTTAACAGTTTGATTGCAAATTCTCTTGAGGAAAAAAAAAAACATATATACGTGACAACACTGAATTTAGTCTTTTTGGGTTTTTTTTTGCCATTTAACCTTTTGTCATTGTTTTTTGATCTGGGTCATAGTGATTTTCACTATGTCCTCAGTGGATTCAGTGAGCTTGTTGACTAACTATATGACACCTATTCTTGAGAAAAATCATATATTATACTATGCATATTGTATACGAGTATGTATGTGAGTACTACTTATATGACGAGAGGAAATGGCCTGAAGTTGCACCAGGGGAGGTTCGGTTTGACATTAGGAAGAATTTTTATATGGAAAGAGTAGTGAAGCATTGGAACAGGCTACCCAGGGAAGTGATGGAGTCCCCGTCCCTGGCAGTGTTCAAGAAACGTGTGGATGAGGCGCTTAGGGACATGGTTTAGCAGGCAGGGTAGGGGTGGACTCGATGATCTTGAAGGTCTTTTCTAACCATAATGATTCTATGATTCTGTGACTACATATGTATATATGAAATGCATTTATATAATCAGATGCAGCAGAAAAAGAGCTGGGAAGAGTGAATTCCTTTATTTCTCATATTTTACATGTCTGCTTTCAGGCAAAGTTCCTAGGTAGTACCTCTCTGATGAAGAGACTCCATGCCAGACATAGCATGCCAGTGCACACAAACATCTTCCATAGGTCAAACTATTTGGCATGGCTTAGGACAAAAAGATATCATTTCTGTAACCCAGCAGCCTCAGAGAGCAGAGTCTTGGGAATAAAACCCCCAAAGGCCTTTTCCAAGGAGATCTAACCACCAAGATTGTCTGGCATTTGAGTATCAGGATATGGACTCACTCCTCAGAACATCTCTCACCCCAAGCTGTTGTTTACTTGATTACATTTATGTTTACTCCGTTGCATAAGAAGTTGGTTTATCATAAATACACCACCTCAGTTTATCTACTCCTGGAAAAAGAAAACATTAATAGATGATTTCAGCCTTGAAATATGTGTCTCCTGATCTTGGAGATATTTCTTTTATACTTGCAAACTGCTTGATATTACTCACCAAATATCCCCAAATTTACTTTAAAGCAGCAGGTAGGGAGACTGCAGAGAAATCAATGCTAGCACATTGCCGCAAAAGCTGACTAATGGAATACTGAATCAATAAAATCACTGGCAGATGGAGTTTCTCTCTTACATCATCATTTCAAAATACTGTAGTATTTTTAGACAAAAAGAACAAGTCCACATAGTCTTTTAAACTACAGAACTAGAAACATAAAAACATTCACTTCATATTTGTGATGACTACATTAATCCCTCTATCCCTTTCCCCTCTTTTTCTTTTGCAGATGCAAAACTGAAGTTAATTGCCAAGTAGCCTTTTCCTTTGCCGTTAATATTTTTTCATAATTACAGACAGGGAGCTATCCATGCGCCTTCTTGATTTATAAGTATGCAATAAGACAAGTAAAATAAAAATAAATTAAAAATAAAAACAGTTAAAAGTAAAAACTATTAAAAGTAAAAGCTTATTTTATAGAATCTTTAAAATATAGGTTGAAAGTAAGAAAAACACCAATGAGTTAATACTGTGTATTTTTAAATATGCAGTGCTTTCTAAAAGACAATGAATAAGTACACTCCAACAAGCAACATAAGTGCAATATAGATTGAAGATAATCTTCAATCTTATAGATTGAAGATAATTTCACTTCGCAGGGAAAGCATTTTTGCACAGCAGATATTTTGAACTCTTTTTGGATTTGTGGACCCCAAACACTTTGGAAGCAGAGATTCAGACTCCTTGCTTTTCCTTCTCCCATTTTTGTATCTCTTAATTCACAGATCCCTTGAAGCTGAAAACCATTAATGTAGCTAATATCTGATTTTACGCTCTTGCTTTTGCAATTTAACCTGCAACTCTATAAAAGGACCAGACTTCTAATCTTGGTAACAAAAATGAAAATTCATTTGTATGTTGTATTCTCATGTTTGTAAGATCAAGTACCAGTCTTTGCAGGTTGGAAGACATTTTCCGTAGTTGAATACGGTACCTTAGAATTCATTAATTTCAAGTATCTGATAAATTTTCTTGAACCACACATTTTATTTATGGGAGATAAAAGGATAGAGCAAAACAAGCATCTTCCTACTCCTATGAAAATGAATTAAGGCTATGAATTAGACTAAAAAGTCATTTTCAACATGGAAATTAAATGAAAAATTATTATGTCATTTATAGAGTGGATAAAAGTATATTCATACATCATAAGCCTGGAAAGGATTTGTCAGATCAAAGCTTGATTTTGGTATATCACAAACAAATAAATTTCCCAGATTAATTCCTGTACTAATCAAAATACTCTGTGAGTTTATAAAATGTATATTCACTGTGCAAAATGACAAAAAAAATCACTGTGCAAAATGAAAATGAAAAGCAGCTTTATACTGTTATTTTGCAACGATAAATCCTAAAGTTAGACTCAACCACCTGCACAGTAGTGCAGAACTCATATAAATGTGTCCCTTTGTGGATATTGTTTCAGCACTGGCAACTGGCTAGGAAACCCTTTGCAAAGGAAACTTTCATCTCTGAATAGAAGTTCATAACACTTTATATGTGTTATAAAATGTCTGCAACATGCAAAATCAATTTTTAAAGGACTAACAGTTCCTTCTGGCATTGAATTCAAGTGGGAGTCAGTATTTCAACACCAGCTCAGTCAAACAACTGGGGCCAAAAGACTGCTCCCAAAAGCACTGCATTGGAAAAAAAAAACCTAATAAGATAGAAATATAATAATTCCAGAAAATATATAATGTTGCCTTTGGAAACAATTACTATGAAATCACTATCAGCTTTCCAGTAGATAAATGCTTAACATAAATGTTCCATTTGAAATAAGCTAACAAAATGCTGTTCAGATTCCTCCTGTTAAAACTGATTCCAAATAGCCACCATTTGTTGGCCTCTCTGGGATATGCACAGATGGAAAGAATAGCTAATTTATACACACAAATAAAAATCAGTTTACAATTTTTTTCTCACAATCTCACATAAGTACATTCTGATAGCAATAAGTATGCCAGCATATTGATTTTATTATTTTAAAATTAATTTAAAAAGATTTTACCTCATATATAGTAACACTCCTCTGGTATGCAGGCTGGAACAGTGCTAGTGCAGCAATTAATTCTGCAGTCCATATTCCCCCATTTTCACATCCAATTGTCCCCTTATCTGTGTAATCCTAGTCACATAAACTTACAGCAAGTAAGTTTCTTACTTTCTACTTTTTCTATATATAGGAATTTCATTCCTGTCCTTCCACCACATTATTAAATGGAAATAGAAAAACTAAAGGCAATGTAGAATTGATACTAACACTTGCACTCCCAGCCATTATAGCACTTAAATTAGAAACAAGTATAACTTTGAAAATGCATTGAAGTTCTCATTCTTATCTGTTCAATTCCACTTCCATGAAACAACCTTTGCAATCTGACATTCTTACATTTTTAACTTACACATTTTTTACATTAATAAACAAATATACAAAGGTATGAGTAAATATTAGGACCATTAAATACCACTTACTTTGGCAATACCAGAATCTGCACAACAAAAATGCAGAAGAATATGAGACAGGCACAAGTCACATAATACTTAAACGCAGGCAGAGTAGTGGCTCGATACTAGAAAAAGAAAGCACGTGTTAAAAACACAGTTCCCAAAACAGACAAAACATCACTTAACTGAAATCCTTACTGAAAGCTTAGACGAGTGGGCCTGTATAGGTAATCTTTAGTAACTGTGAGTTTTTTATTTTTCAGTAATTGTCCTATGAACCCACATGGGTATGGGGATGCTCAGACACAGCACTGAAACCTCTTGAAGAACTTCATTTCATTCCTTGGAGAACAGCTTACACAGCCAGGTGAAATGGTTATTGTATCTGCTACAGGATTATCCCAAATTTATCATAAGAGGTTCAATTTTTATTTTAAAGAGTGAAAGCAAATAAAATAAATTTTTCTATTTTCAAGAGTGACTGACAGTCCTTGGCTGCTTCCAAGTTTCCGAGTAGTTAATTCTCCACATCTAGTTTTCAGTTAAGAATAAAACTTAGTGGGCTGAAACAATTATAAAAAAAGTAACAGTCTCCTAGATAAGAAACTTCCAAGCACATGAAGCAGCTACATGTGTACTATTTCTATGAGGCTAGCTAGAAATAACACCTGTAATAACCAATCAAGGTTATATTATTACTTCAACTAGTATATTTAATGCCAGTTTTAACTAGTTTTAACTTAACACCAACACTAGTAGACAGTTGATATTCTTAGGAGAATGCCAGTTTTGTCATTACAAAAATTCTACATATAAACCTCTAACTAGCTATCTAAGAACACCAGAATTGAGTACTGAATTATTTGTTAGAAGAATTGCTCTGGTATTTGAGGTAAATATGACCAGATTGAAACCAGCCAAGCAGGAACTCAACTCAAAAAGAAAAGGCATAAGTATCGACTTTTTTCATAGGGTGAGACTTTAAGAGCTCATTATTAAAAGAAAATGTAGAAAAGGATATTTTCACAAATGGCTTAATATGCAGACCTCATAAATGGGAAGTGCATGAGCCACGCTTGTTAAGCATCAAGCTCACAGCTGTGTCTTTGGGCTCAGTGCCAGATTTGGCCTTTGAAACAGGTGCACATGAACACAACTGAATGAAGCTTAGTGCCCAGCAGCCTTTTTTTTTCACTTCTGAATTCTGTGACAAATCAAAAGCAATTCTTGTCACATACCTACATGAACTCCAAGGCACAAACATGATTGTGCTTGATGACTATTTTTGCAGCAAGTTTTTGGCTTTTTTTATTGAATAAGTGTGATATATCTCAAACATTTTGTTCAATGATTTTGGACCTTCACCTGTTGTCAAAATCTCAAAAATTCTGAACATCTTGTGAATTCATTTCTGTGTTCCACGCTTCTCTAGACAGCTCCCAATGAAGTCATGCAACTCACTCCTTAAGTTAAATAATTATTTTACTTTATTACCTTGCTTTAGTTTCAGGTCCTGCAGGGCCTGAAAATCTCCTGTTTAAATCAAAGTCAAGCTTCCCACTGAGTTCTTTTAAGTCAAGACTGGACTGGTGAGTCATTGAAAGGAAGTGAAGAAAGGCATTTAAAAGCCAGATCTGAAAAGAGCAATTAGTTCTTTGGCATGCAAGCATGCTACAGCCTAAAAGAGAACAGACTCCTACAGGGCACATCCTCACAGCTAAATAACTCAGCGCTCTGGTTTTCTCCCAAGTCCTCACTCCTTGACTGTCCAAACTGTGATGGTGACTGTGAGCTTGTAATGGTTTTCTCCCAACTTCTTTTTTTTTTTTTTTTAAGAGTTGATCAATTATTACTCTTCAAATTAAAACCTGAATGTGCTCCTGGGGTCCATTTCCCTACAAAATAAAAATCCAGGACAAGTCTAGTTTCTTCTCTCTTATGTCACATCTACATAGTTTCCACAAGTCTTAACACTGCAAGAGCATACCACATTTTCCTTTGACCCTCTCCTACAACAATACTATTCAGCTGAGCTATGAGAGAACCTGAAGGTGATTTCAGATACTTTGAATTGCAAGACACTTGTAGAAATTATTAATTATGTCTTGGAGAACCATGTGGGCCTTAGAGGATACTTATGCTGTGTAGTAAAACCCAGCCAGAGTGCTTTAGAGAGGATTAACCCTCCACATCAGGTGGCCTAGCAACACTTCTATGAGCAGTGTGGACTCAAATATTGCTTCCATCCCTGCACAAAAGCCACGAATAGTTCCTTTCCCCCAAAGCGTTGTTCTCATGTCCATAGAGGGATCAACGAAACACACAATACTAGAGGCAGGGAACCAGCAAGCTATGTTTCAATCAGCCAATAAGAAAAGCAGAAGATATCCACTTCTCCTCCATCTCCTCCAAAATCCTCCATTACTGTGAGACTATGATAATTTCAAGAAATTCAAGTGAACTGTAGAGTATTTTAAAAATTGTCCTGGGAAGGAAAAAAGGGTTCTCAGATCTTTGACATTTCTGACATTTTCTCTCTGACATTTCTGTTATAAATGAGTTAAACTATTATTGTAACCTTCAAAAGAACTTCAGGACAAGTGCTGAGGCTGAGATTCTTGTTACAAACGCATGGGATACAGACCTCCCATAGGATGAGGCAGAGCAGGAAGTAACCATGAACCTCCTCTGAAAATAACTTACCTCTTTTTCCAGAGTTTTATTATAGAAAAGAAGTGATATTCTTTGAATGTCTTCAGATTTAAGCCACTGTCTAGAAAGGGAAAGGAAATACAACAAAATATTATAACTGACACAAGAATAGAGCTGAACCATGCTTTTATATTATTGAAAAGCAGGAGAGTAAGAAAATTAATTTTAAGGAGAGCAAGTTCTTGTGTATTCCAACACATGTGGTGATTTACACTGAGATTTACATGATATATTGCTGACAAGGACATTCCACTTGTGTCCAAAATCCTGTAGTATATCAAGCACACAGAAGAGAACCTGAGAAAAGGACAGTCCTTTATACACTACCATGATAAAGCACACTGTCACAATATACAAGAGTATCAAGTAAAACAAACTTTATGGACTATACTATTCCAAATCTGAATACAAAAAACATAATTAAAAAGTGGAGTGATTCTGTATTTGAGTTAAATTGACTATGATCCTACCCTCTTTTAGGTTTTGATTTTTTTCATAAAGACCTCTGCTAAAAGATGAGAAATGCAAAACAGATTAAGCAGATATAGTGAAATGATAAGTCTATTTTAAAATGAGTGAATCGTGACAAAATCTTGACATAACATCTTTTTGTGAAACGAAATGTTCTGATATGAAAGTATATTTATTTTAATGGACACTTGAAAAGAAACAGAGTATTTAAATTTTGGGTTGATAGTTGGATTGAGCTTTAAGGGGACTAGAGTTTTTTTTTAACATAACATTTTAGCAGCCTCTTCCTGATAATATGCAATTTCTGAGCTCGAACACTAATAGCAGGGTTTGAAATGCTTTTTTCACCTATATTTCTAAATTAGGCTCTAAGCCAGTACAGGAGCTAACAGGTTTTCTAAGCAAAAATGAAAGACTCCATTGACAAACAGCAATGTAAATAAACAGCAGTAATGAGCCCCAGTGTGAGAAAAAAAAATCCTAAATTAAGAACTTGGGAGAAGAGGAATGGACAAAGTGTTGTGTAAGATATTAGCTCTGACTCACAAAATATAAAATAATTGTTTTCTTTACACAAAGGCTGTGCACTGTGGCTTCAATTTATCCATTTTTCTATCAAAAAGGGCAAAAAAAATTATTCAACCCTAGGGATGCTGAATTCAAAAATATATTTTTCAGTTTGACGTGAAACAGCTCACATCTACATCTGACTATAGCAAGGAGAGTCTGAGAAGAAAAAGATTTAATAGATTTCTCCATATAATACAGTAGCTCGGGGTGCAGAGCTACTCCCAAAGGCCAAATTGGTCTGCAGCCATTTGATCACCTCTGAGGTCATTAATGCCACGTACAGTAAAGGCTGCCCCATACTTCCGATTATTAGCTCATATTTCCAGGAGCTTTTAGGAATACTAGGAAGATTACTAAAACCATACTGGTTCCATTCCTATTAAAGAAGTTGTAAAAATTTTAAGTTACTGTAGTAACTCCATATTTTTGCTCTGTAATTGTGATTTTTCAATCATCCTGGGTTATCAGATCTGGCCTTTTTGCTTTTGTGAGAAAAGGCTAATTTTTGGCTAAGCCTGGGCTCGAAAAATCTCATTTTCACAAACACTCAACAGAGATTTCTCACTTCAGTACAGAAGATGAAGGGGCAGATGAAGAGACACAAAACACATACCTTCGGCAGGGAGATAAGCACAGAAAAATCTAGTTAACTGCACAGTTCCCTGCTTAGTCCAAAATTTACTGAATTATCTGCAAGGATGTGGGAGTGTACCTACAGAAAAGCTAAATACCAAATTTCTGCTTAAATTCTTCTTCAACTCACAAAACATCATAGATTGGCAACTAAATTCTGCCTGTGTTCCTGAGGCACTTGGCTAGACAGGCTTGGTCTGATGGCAACACCCAGCCTGGAACTCGGCACACAACATAGCAGCTGCAGTGACACAGATAAGATGTGACTAAGATATAAAAGGAAAGAGATATTATGTCTTTAACATAGTAACCAACTTATCTGATAACCTTACTTTAACCCTGTCTCTTGGTACATATTAAGTCAGCAGATTCCAGTGTGTCCATCACACTTCCAACGAAAGTCCCCTAATCACCAAGGTACAGAGTGACACAGTCAGGGCTACTCACACCTTTCTGCAGACAGACACTTTGCTGCCAGGAATAGAATTGCTAAAGTACTAGGAAAAGAATAACTTAAAATAAAAAAGCAAAAATACTATTTTCTTCACAGGTTTTCTTGAAAGTTTGAACTCATGATTCACAAAATGTAACAGATTTAGCTTCACAATCACTCCATTACATTAGCTCATAGTATTATTTTCCTTCTATAGCTGAAAAATGGAGGAACAGAAAAAAAAAGATACTATTATATTAAAAAGGATCATTAGTTTTGTATCCCAGATTTAGAATATCTTTAGGACATCTTCGTACTATTTTAGCATTCACGTAGTTAAAATATTATTGGATTAACTTGCTGTTTAGGGCATCAGCACTTCTGTAAATTGGCTCCCAGGTACACAATTAAATAAGTTTAAGTGAATCATTCAGTAAATTAAGACAAATACAGACAGAGAATCTACTTTTGGAAGGCAGCATCCAGCCTCTCTAATATAGAAATTCATTCCTTATCTTTCTGCTGTTCACCCACAAAATTCACAAAAACTTTTGCAGCAGTCTCTTTTATCACACAAATCTTTTATCCTCAGTCTTCTCTGAATATTATAGTCTGATAAGATAAGACAGGGATAAAGGAAAGAGAAGTATGGTCATAACAATACTTCGTGCCTATATGCAAGGTGCCTTATTTTTAACATCAAAACAGTTTTTAGAGTGCACTTATCTTAGCAAGTATACCTGAAGACCAATAAAAACTGCAAAAATGCATATACCTGTTTTAGGCAAGTCTAGCAAAATCAAATGGCTTTCCCTATTGGATAACTTACTTCCTTTCATTGGATTCCTTTCATGACCTATACAAATCAGCACTAGAATTTTCTAAAAATAAAATCTGAAAAATATTTCCCTAAACTGAGTATCTACTAACTGGATTATTAGCTGCCAAACACTAAATAAACCAAAAAATTCTCATCTCCCACAAAAAAAAAAGATAAATAACTATTTAATAATTAGGTTAGGTATAATATTCTGCTAATTAAGACTCTGAATAGCAGAAATAGGAGGAAGAAAATATAATTCATCGCAGTTATTATCCAAATTTTTCAAAGGGCAATTGCCAGATTTCATCAGGTAAGCACGAGAAACTTGAACACTTATTTTGGAGTGTTACTGATTTTTATCTATTTGCCACCAGACCAAGACCTTCAAAACCACCTCCAGCTCCTTCTAGGACATGTCACACTGCCCGCTCCCACAGTTTCAACCTGCCATTGAGTTTAGGCTCTGCTAAGAGCCTTCCACAAATTGTGTGTTTAGGGAAAGTTTCTAGTTTTGAGATGCTTCTGTCACAATCGTGAAATGTCAGTTTTTACATCATTTCAATTCCAGTGCCTGGTATTTTTTTACATCTCTTATTTCTTTGCTGTGTGATGAGATAATTCTGTTGCATTACAGCTATGAGTCTGCAGTTATGCAGCCAAAAATTCCTTTGCCTTGAAGTTCAAGGAGAGCCAAAAGCTTTGTCACAGCATGATTCACACGCACGGTCTTATCCCATGAAATGGAAAATGTTACTGTGCAGTGGGTGCACGCAGGAGGGGGAAATAGTAAACACTTATATTGAGTTGAGGGAAGGAGACAATCCTGATTGCAAACCTACTTTTGAGCATTGATTCCATCAATGGCCTGAATCATCCTCTCATTTAGTTCCTCCTCAAATCTTTTTTTCTGTGATTTTGTTCTGAAATGAAAAATGGGTGACGTCAACTTGGAAAATCATCACATTATTAATAAACATTAACTTTAGAAAAGAGGGAGTGATAGTTGGCATAAAATTGAAGATATAATAACAGCATTTTAATATTAATGCAAATAGCCACTACAGACTTCATCATACAGAGCTGACAAGTGCATATATAACAAAAGCAGCAAAAGCTACAGATTTTTCCATAAACACATATACAAAAACATAATCTAAGTGTTAGGAAGACTTAACTATTGGGGAGCACTTAGAAACAACCAAAAGTAAACATCTTGTAAAAACACAGATTTCTAGAAACTCCAGCTTAAGGAAAACCATCCATAATGGTATGAATTCCTGAAAAAGAATGGCATATGTTCAAATCCTTAAAATATTTCTGTTGCTTCTAGTTATTTTTAAAAGTTGTTTGACAGAGTTGTGTGATGAGCAATAATGTGCTAGTGCACTGATGCATAATAAGCATTCTCTGCAGAAAGGCTGCTAAGTCTTCCTTTCTTGGAAATATTTTATTGTTTTTAATAAGAGCACTAAGCCTTAAATTAGTTTCAAACGTATGTCACGTTCCTCTTTTTTAAATTTATAACATAAGTGTAGTAAGAAAATGATCGTTTACGTCCACTGGATCAGTATGAATCCAACTGAGGATCATAAGAGAGGATTTGTCTTTTCTGACACACATTGCTGCAAACATCATCAGTTCCTCCAGCACTTGTGCTCTCCTTAAAACTAGAGATTTAAAATAAATTTAAAATAAAATTTGAAAACTATTTTATATATCTCCACAGATCATGACTCTCTTCCTTGAAAACTTAAATTCAGTGCTAAGTTAGTAAATATTAGGTCGGAAATCAGTATTGGGATCTGAAATATTACTTTGCAGTTATCAAAATTTTCTTAATCTACAAAGTAAAACTTCCCAAAGGCAATATAGCCCTTCTCCCACATTAAGATTTTGGGTTATTTCCCCAAAACTGAAATAGGATTATTTCAGGTTTCAAATTGACACAAAAAATGTCTCAGTGTACTTACTGTAACCTTACACAACCCAAATGTTTTCATCCTTATTCAGTGCTACAAAATTTAGGTAAACAAATGTTTACACCTTATTTTTCACATGCTGAAACATCTGCCTAGGAGAAATAACTAGACACATAAGGAGACACTGTTTTATCACTCATAATAGCATTGGCAGATCCCTACAACATAAGAATATCACGTAACTATGTAAGAGGTGGGACTGCCACAAACAGAAGCCTACCATCAGGCTTCACAACCCACGTCTTCATATTCTAACAAAACACTTGATTTTCAAAGTACTTATTATCACTTCAGCTCTTACCTCTGGGAATGACTAACTAGCATAACTAAAATCTTTGTTACATGCCTCAGTACAGACAGAAGACTTACTAATGGTTTCCAGAAGCTCCTTCCATAACATGAAGAACAACAGCATGGTTATCAAGATACCTACTCAAATTTGTCACTTTAGAATCTGCTTTGGAGTAAAATTTAGAAGCAGGAAAACACAAGTGTGTGACTGAAGTCTTAAAGAACTGCATTATTTGAAAATATCATAGGACAGTGATTTTTATTTTTTTATTGTGAGACTGGAGTAAGTTCTTTTAACATACACTCCAAACGTAAATGCTTGGTTTCCTAGCCAGAAAATCTTTGTTAATATTATGGTGATTCAGTCATAACCTCTCCACTTCTATAAACTAGCAATATTTTATGGGAATGTGCAGCTCCTCGGTAGCTGATATTTTGTTTGCCAGCCATTTACCGAGCAGAGCTGGGCACCAGACCAGCAGGCAGAATGAGAAGCTTGCATAACCAAGAAGACAAAAGCACAAATTTGGAAGGGTTCTTTCAAGCTAATTTATGGTATTTGTGATGTTACTTATGTTTTTGCAAGAAAGACATTATCGGAAGTGTTATCAAGCCATTAAAATAAAAAGTATATATTCTTATACTGCTAGGCTTATTTTTTAACAGCAGTCAATTTTTCAATGTAAAAATTCTGGACATTAAAAAAACAAAACGAAGCAAAAAAAACCACAGTTCTTTCCTATGTTCATTTCTCACCATGTTGCTCCAGACTGGAGAACTACAAAGTACTTTTAAAATGTTTACTACTATAAACACACTACAGACTCTGCAATACTACTGCACAATGTAAATACAAAGTGATTTACAAAATACATAAAATACTTCTTCTAGTATATGAGTTTATAAGTTATAGTATCAATTATTTAAAGTCCTTTCCACCTCTCATTTTCTACCCCACTGTGCCTGCCCTCTCAAATTTCCTGTACATCCTTCATTTGCACAATGAAATGGTAAAGGGGTTGAAAGTTACTGGAATAGTAAAAAGAAAAAAACAGAAGTCCATCAACATACTGATGCTAATCTAGAATAACAATATTTGTTAGGAGGAAGTGTAGTCATAGTTCATAAGTAACATGTCTTCAAAGTCTCTTTTTAGAGACATTCTCTACTTAGAGGTATCACCAAAGAAAAAAAATAGTCTGAGTTTCAATATTTGAAAGCAAGGCATAAATATGAACGCGTATTTCACAAAACACATGCATTTATATAGATTTTATATGATTAGGCAGCTCTTTTCAAATGACTTTACCTCTCTCTGCAACGCTGAAAATGATATTGCCCCATAGGAACATCCTAAAAAGAAAACAAAACCCAAAAAACTATAATAACAATACTAAGTCATTTTAAAAACAGAGAGAAAAAAAAAAGGGAGAAAATTAAAGCAAGGAGAAAAGCTTCAAAAGCAAATATTTTTAACATTACATTAAAACTCCATTAAAAAAACTCCATCAACAATGAAGATGGAAAAAGTCATCTGGAGACAAACTGAAGTGACACTACAAGCACTCAATTACCACTAAAACCATCTGAATCCAAAAATGCTATTCTCTACTGGAAATTCATTGCTTCGAAGTCACTGATATTGGAATATTGCCCAAAACTCCACCCGTTTCATGGAAAATTAGTGTTAAGTATTTTTGAAAACCAGACTTGAGTAACCTAATATAGCCAATTGCTATTATTTTCTTTTGATGAGCAACAGTAGCCGTCACAATCATGTTTATTTTGGGATTAACTGTGGAGCCTTTCTGTAACGACCATGAAACATCCATATTGTGATGCACTTTATTTATTGAATGAGTTAGGTGATTCAGTCCTACGCTCTCCTATGTAACAGGGGTAGAAGTGCATACTGTTGAAATATTGAAAATGAAAGGTTACACTTTTTTGAAGTAGAAGATGTACAAACTATGGACTGTCAGTATCTTTGAAAGCAATAAAATAGTGTTGACAAAATTTTAAAATATCCTTTTTGTTTAGGACAAAAGATATAACATTGCAATATAGCACCATGAAACTCAGGCCACCAGCTATAGCTGATGATGAGTAGTGCATCTTGAAAAAGTAGTGGTTACAGTGACAATGCATTTGGTTCCCAGGGAAATCTAATAAAAGCCACTTCAGGTGCCATAGGAATATTCTCACTCTTCATAGCCTTGCTCCAGGTGCTCATATTCCAACTGCTTTATTTGCCTAAAATAGCCCCTAAACCTCAGAAAATCTCTCCTTATCAACTGTGCCTTTTTCCAGAAATGTTACACTCTGGCTTTACGTTCAAAACATGTTTTCACACAGGGCACAGTTGCCACACTACAAGCTAGGACTGTGGCACAAGCTCAGAGGGCCACATTTTTCCTTTTAGTAATTTTGTGAGATTCCATATGATTAAGATATGCACTCGAGGTATGGCTCCCTAAACCCTGATCCACAACTCACAAGCTAATGGAAAAGTTCCCAGCAGCTTTACTGAGTTTTTGTCCAGTATAAATGCATACATTCATCTACCAGAAATAACCAGGTATTTAGGATCTTCCTTTCCAACATTGCTAAACTGTATGAAACAATATAAGTAGGCCCCTACTGTTGTGCTAATCTTGCCGTTTTCAGTGGTCATGCTGTCCCTATGGTGCAAGTGGGCAAATGGCTTGGCGGCTCCCCAGGACTCCAGGTACCGGGTCATGCGGACAGACGCTCTCATTTTGGCTCCATCAAGTGTGTGCCTAGGTCTGATGTGGTGCTGAGGACTTCGTTTTTCCCCCTGTTTCACAGAGAATAGAAGGTGGTATCATTACCTTCTCAAGCATTAAAGCATCATCCTCAACTATGTATCTGCAAGACATTTCAGAGATTTATTTCTGAAGAGCAGGAAAAATTTTGCTTTGCTGCAGCCACCAACCATTGCTGTATTTATAGGCATCTGTGATAGCTCTCCTCACCTAATCAATACATTACAGTAAAGAACTATTCAATACAGAGGTTAGTGGTGATGCTCAAAAACAACTAAGGATACAAAATGTGCATACTACTAACCTTAGGGTTGATTACAAAGTAGGTCTTAACATTATGCTCTTTCAGATATGGGTCCCTCACATCTCCATCCCCGTCTTCCACTTTGTAAGCTCCATTGAGATGTGCCAAGGTGACTGAAGTGATGTGAACACGGCTGAAATTATGTTTTAAAAGAATGACAAAATTCCAAATACTGATCAAAAGCATCATTTGAACCTGACAAACCCATTTCTTTTTTTTAATAGCTCTTACACTGTTTATTTCATTTACGAACTTTAATCTCATTTTCAGAAGGTCTAATGGGTACAAATCTAAAGGTTTCCATCATGAAAAATACCTCTTAAAGGTATGGGAGATGCTGAGTGCCCAATTATTTAACAGACTACAGTAAAGAATTCATTCGGCTTTCTACACAAAGGTTGATATCTGATATAGACATAGATATGGTATCTATAATACCGAAATCTATGAATACAAAGGTTAAGAGAAAAAAACTCCTACCCGGGGACTCCACCAGCTTCCATGTGATTTGCAAGGGTAACATCGTGTGACCACACATCATACTGCCACTTCTGCAGCCCAATAACCCCACAGAGGACGTTACCCGAGTGCACTCCCACGCGCATGTTTATGTCAACTCCAGTGGCATCTCTCACTTTCCTGTAGTTGAGAAGAAAACCTGTGTTAAGATGTACAGTAGGGCCTTTTCGTTCTTTCAACTTACATGACAGTCAAGTTAACAGAGACAATGGGAATACCATTTATTTCTTCCCTCATTGTCCAGACCACATCTGAATTTTGAACTTCCTATGGCTTTTGACAGAGCTGAGGCAGCTGTTAACCCAAAGCAGATTTCAGCAGAGCTCTGCACGTAACACAGATACTAATCTCTCCAGAAGAGGCATTTCTGAGTCACAACTGGGTAATTAAAGTCAAGCAATCAGAACATATGTATGTCATAGGGGCACCTAACTACGTAAGTAGAGAATTAGCTAATTAATTCAGATGTCTACAGGCTTAGACAGCTCTGTGCCTTTTGAGTTACAGGACTAAACTGGCCTATATACCTTCTTTTTTTAAAAGGAGGCACTGAATTTAACAGGTTTAATCTGATATGGCAAATCCTACCATTAAGAGCACTTTTCCAGTGCTCTTTTTCTAGAAAATGAAAACAACAGGAGCACGACTGCAAGTATTCTGCTAAACTGTGTTTTATTATCAGGAGAAGAAAGGGGAAGCTTTTTAATTCCCTTGGTCTCTCTCTACCAAGTGTTTACTGATATGTCTTTTCATTTTGCTATTTTGCGCTGCTGCCCTGTAGCTGACGCACTTGCAAATGAAGTGCTCATAGGTGACCTTTGTAGGCAGTCAGCAAACAGCAAACGTCTTCTTGTTCTGCACAAGGAATACAATGAAATGCAAGCTTAACACCTTGAATAAAGAGTGTTTCACAAAACACTGCAAAGTTTAGGAGAGTATTTATACCCTGGGAATGTTTTTCCACAGGCTGCTTCCTCAGGATTGAGGCTTCAGGACTTGTGCTCCTCTGGACCAACTCAGAGGTCACTGTTACTTCTCTTGGGCTGTCTGACCAATTGCTCAGTGATGTGGGCACTGAATATAATCCATCATATCCTAATAGGACATTTACTTAATTTCCTATTGATCCTGAAATTTGAATCTGTAAGGATACTGTGTTCTTCACAGACATGGTTAGCTTGTAGCAGCTTGACTAAGCAAAAGCAAGAGTTGAGGTCACAAGGAAAGCATCTGATCTCTCTTAGAGGCTTTTCTCATTGGTACCGTAGTTAAGACTCACCTAATCTTGCTTAACATCCTTTAACTCATTTCACTGAGCCTTCACAGAATCACTGAATGGGTAAGGCTGGAAAGGGAACTCTGGAGATCTTCTAGTCCAACCCCCCTGGCTCAAGCAGGGTCACTTAGAGCATTGCCCAGGACCATGTCCAGACAGCTTTTGAGGATCTCCAAGGATGGAGACTTCACCATCTCCTTGGACAGTGTTCAACTAAGTGGTTGAACTGAGTGGTTAAACTTATCATAGTAAAGAAGTTTTTCCTTATGTTCAGATGGACTTTCCTGTGTTTCAGTTTGTGCCTCTTGTGCCTCAACCTATTACTGGGCAACACCCTCCCTTCAGATACTTATGCACGTTGGTAAGATCCCCCCCATCAGCTTTCTCTTCTCCAGGCTGACTAGTCCAAGCTCTCTCAGCCTCTCTTCATATAAGAAAAGTTCCAGTCCGTGGCCTTTGCTAGACTCGCTCCATTAGGCCTCTATCTTGAACTGGAAGGCCCAGAACTGGACACAGTCTCACACACAGACACACTCTGTGTTCCAAATGAGGTTTCACCAGGGCTGAGAGGAGGTGAAAGAGAGGACTCTTTCAGAGCAGTTGGGAGAGAGAGTAGTTGGGAAGTGCCTTGAGCACTTAGTTCCCTGCAAATTAACATTTATAGAAACATAGTTCTCATTCTGGACCAGACCTGTAGGAATGAGATATTACCAAAAAATAAAAAATAAAAAAAAGAATTTTTTTTTGAGGCACAATAACCTTATCCATAATGTCTTTCACTTTGAGTTCTCCGAAAGGCACCTCAGTTCATGGTAGCAAATCAAAGATCTCAAGTTTTTGAGAATCTGCACAGCTGAGAAATGTTTAAAGGAGAAAGCTGCCAGGCAGACAAGGAGATGGGGATGGAGGCTGAAGGCAAACAGCATATGCATTCATATCAAAACATATTTTCTTTTGACAGATGAGCTTTTACCCTTGAAGCACCCACCTAAGCTGTGCCAGCTGCCAAGACCACAGGCAGCACTGGCACCTACAGCTGGGCAAGGTGAGCATGCTGCGCTGGGGCAAACAGACTGCCTGAAACACTGACTGCGTTTATTCCAACATAAAGCAGAGAAATAAGGTAACTAAGGCAATCAATGGGACTATTCACATGTTTAAATGGAAATAACCCCTAGCCTAGTGAGGCTGAATTGCTCAAGATGGAGCTACCCACGCTTAGGAAACAAGACTGAATAAGGGTTTGTGCTACAGATCACTCGGCATTTTGATATAGTTCCTCTTTTACCTCAGAGAGAACTATGGCTGGTAACAGAAAAAATACGTACAGAACTGATAATCTAAATAGCAAAATGCTGAGTTTCAGTGACTTAGCCAATAAGAGGTCAATTTGGACCTCCATGGCTGCAGGTGAGCAAGATTCTAATCTGAAAAAAAAAATTAGACAGGTAAGTGGAAAATATATTAAGTGACACTTCCAACAGTAAAAATAATACTGCTTTTAGGTTTAGAGGCCCCCAAAGTACTTGTGCAAAGATGTAGCTATCACACAACAAAATAAAGAGTTGATTAATCATAGGTAATTTTTATTCACCTACAGGCCAGAACATTTGCCATAATACTTCGAAAGTATATCAAAACATGGGATACAGGTTCCTTGTTTCTTATGGAGATGTAAAGAGGTAATCCCAGCACCTGCCTGCAAGGACATTGTGAATTCTGAGTCTATCGGAACAGAGTCTGGAGAGAGACTCGGATCAGAATGTGCCTGAAAGGCAATTTTACAGGCTATCACCCTGGTCTTGCCAAGAAGAACCTTATCACTCAGCATGAACAACAACACTTGATAGCAGCTGGAGCAGAAAGCTACCTCAAATAAAACTGGGGAGCTGCAAAGTGTGAGGAATCTATGCATTGTTCTCTCTGAGCTGAAGGAAAGGACCCCATTGTCACCTGCAAAATTATGCACTTTGATCCTTGGGAAAGGCAATTTATGGATCAGACTCGCATTGTTTTGTCTAACAGCTTGCAGCCTACTTTACTTTTTTCTACTTATTTTCTACTTTTCTTCCAACTAGCAAGCAGTAGGGTGTCCAGAGACTCTATGTAAATCCTGTTAGCTCATATCTATCACAAAAAAACTGAAGTTATCAAAACCTAAGCCAGAAAGCTTTAATTTTCACTGAAATGCTGGGGGGAGCAGAGGGAGAAGAAAGAAAAAAGAAAAAAAAATCTAAACAGCAAAAAATAGAGGAGTGAGAACTTCAGGATAGACTTTTCCTTGACCCACTGCTCTATGGAAAGGATGTTAGCTTCCATTTCTAGTGTGAGAGAGTGATTGCTCTAATTATAATGATGCTAATCTTTTATATCTAAATAAAAAGGAAAGGCATCCAATGAAAGCCCCTGAGGAAAGAAGCAAGTCTGTAGCTTTAATGCTTGACAAGGAGAAGTATTCAATGTACCATCAAAAAATATGTTTCTCTACACATGATGTAGAGTAAAAATGGTTTGGGGTAAAGAAGAAAACAATTAAGAAAATGCCGCAACCTTCCAGAACTGAGGTTAGTTTTACAAAAGTTCCATAGAACAAGGAGCTCTAAATCACAGTTTCCACAAACACTACATTGTTTCAGGGAATGATTTAAGTGGAAGAGAACTGAATTTCCATTAAGCAATCCACCCTCTAATCAGAAGACCAAGTGAATTAAAAAAACTCTGCTCTTGTGACTATGATTACACATATATGCTGGTAGTATTTAAGGATTAGACGATTATTCTTTCATGACTGTTTAGTTAATCACTTAGATGACACTACTCAATATACCTTTGCATTTCCTGAAGGGATGCAAATGACACACAGAGCTCATGAGGCTGAGGTAACCCACTACATTACTGTCCAAACAGTTGTGAATGTGACATCTGAAAACACTGCAACTGGAAGGGAAACTTATGGGAGAATGTACTGAGTTTTCAAACCAAAGTCCAATTGTTCCAATAAATAAATCACATAGGTCACTAGCCATTAGCCAGATTGCCACTGAATGAAGCTTTTTTTTTTTTTGCACAATGTAGGTGGGCTAGAAATATTATGATTTTAGTCAAAGGAATCTTAAGTTTCCTACTGGGAAGATATTTGTGACACATAATTACTATAAGCAATCATTTACTATATTTTGACAGTTAAAACCTAAAAAGAACTTCAGATATGAATAAAGAGAGGTAAGTATCTGACTTTAATAAAAAGAAAAAAGAATAGGAAGGGATTATTTTCTCCTCTTCTCCCAAAATGTTCTCTAAGTAAGACAGTAGAATCAGAACCTTGCTTAACCAACAAGGTCCAATATACTGAGCTGAAGTTTCTGGGTAGGCATGTTCAACTTTAACTATCTTCATATTGAAATATGTGCAGAACTATCAAGGACAACTAGCCTACAGAAGATTTAATTCCATGATGCACTGAGTTGTATCTGGAAGACTGGAATCCCCTCCACCCATTCTCCATCAACGATTCAGTCAGAGGAATCCTCAAGTATGTCTTTGGCTGTATCTCCTGATACCTTGAAGTATTCAGACATCAGCTATAATCCTTTTTCCTCTTTCACAATCATATCAGCCTCCTGTTATTACTTGAGTTGCTTGCAATAAGTCAGCATTACTACTTCAGAAGCAATCACATTAGGATTCTCAGATAACTTTTTCTACCTCTTCTTCAGAAATGGAAAAAGTATAATCATGATGAAGAGGGAAAAAAAAAAGGACAAGTAAAGTAATCTACAAATCTAAAGAGCTGTTCATTCAGAGCAGAATTTTGAATGGCACCTGAACATGTTAACTGACAAAACTTTTCAGAAAGTCCTAGACAATTACAAAATAGTAGAAACTAAACCTAAACTTGAATTCTAGTCAAATATGCACATTTTATTTCTTATTTAGCAACACAGAACACAGCCTTCTCAGCTCACAGAGCAGCAACGCATTCAAGACATCTTCAGTGCACATGCTCGGTAACACACTATAGGGTCAGGATTTGAGATATCTTAGGAGAGTTTTTTATTTTTATTTTTTTCAGGAGGCAACTTCCACTGAGCTCCAAACTCGACAGAAGCCAGAAGCTCTGCTCTATCATAGGGCCATTTGACCAGGAGGTGACTGGCAGCGTCCATGTATTTTCTGAGGTTGACATCAAGATTACCATGTTAGACATTGGACTGTGATGCAAAACCTACTGCTGCTCCGAATGCTCCATGCGAGAAGCCCAGCTACACAGGAAAGGAGTGTTTGTTAAAAAAATCTCAGTGCTTACTTAATGGCTTCACACATGTCCAGTCCCATTTTCACACAATTCTTGGCATGATTTTGAAGAGATATAGGGAGTCCAGACACGCAGTAATAGCAGTCACCTAGAATTTTAATTCTCATACATTCATTTTCCTGGAAAAAAAAGACAATAGGACTTTTTAGGGGGCAATAATGAACACCTACTTACTGAAAAAAACAGGAAACTGTTTTCTTTATTAATGACATCCTTTACAACTTCACATGCTGAATGCAGTTTGTTCTAATGCTTGTAAAAATGACACCTAACCGGCAAATATAAATCTTTTGATTACATTTCAGTCTCTTCTGGAATAATCTAGAGGCTGTGGTCACATCTTCCTAAAACTACTTTAATTGGGCTCTATTGCCCTCCAACCTCTTAAACGCTTTTACAAAGATGACAAAATGGATTGTAACATTTTTCTTGCATTTCCTAATCTTTGTTCTTGTAAATCAATCTGCTTAGAGTGCTCTCCACCTTCAAAAGCCTGACAGTGCTCCATAAGCTCTCTATATTGTTCCTATTAGTAGGAGCTATATCATAGCTTTCTAAGTGTAAGACTTTAAGGACATTAACCTCTGAACTCTGTGCACAGACTGTCTTAATGACAGAAGTCCAATGTCACTTCCAGATCAGAGCCAGATTTCTTATCTACTCTGTTATCAAAAATTCAGAATAACACAGATTCATAGAATCATAGAATTATCTTCATTGGAACGTGACACATTACAATTTACACTAATATAAAGGAAAACTTTCACATGATTAAATTCTAATCCTCCTGCAAAGAGCCTAAGAAATACTGCCGGGTGGAAACGGGGTGCCCAGGAGAAAAGAACGTACTAGAAATCACTTAGATATTTAAATTAACAGGAGCAGCTCAGTGGAAACTCACCTTTGCAATCTGATCAAACTTGCCAAAGAGCTCATTCAGCATGTGCACCAGCTCCCCTGGGGAGCAGTCACTGGCCAGGCGAGTGAATCCCACAATATCAGCATACAAGATGCTGCAGCAGAAACAAGCAGACCCTGGGTTATGCTTTCCTTCCTCCAAACTGAGATTTATTCATCAATAGCATAATCTGAAAGCAGGTATTCAGCACTGGGCAGAATCATGCCCATAAAACAACCACCATGTGATACAGTAAATAAATGACCCATTCATTTGACTCAGAACAGAAGGTATGAGGTAGGCTTCTATGCCCGTATTTGTAACACATATTCAGAAAATATACATCTTTTCTTACTCATAAATGGGCATTTAATAAGGGAATTTAGATCAGTAAGCATATTTCTTATTAGAATTTGTTTATTAATATTTTATCAACATCAGACATCTCAGCCTGCCTTTACCTGGGAAGTGAGTCTTTTTTTGACCACTTGTTACGCAGACCGTGAAATTCAAGGTTGCTTGATCAGATATTCAAACTATATGCTATGTTTCCAGTCACCAAGTAAAAGAGACTATTTCAGAGAATTAGGCTAAGGTACAAGTATATGTGCTCGCAAGTGGGAATTAACTTTCTCAAAAGTATTCTGGAATACTTACTTTGAAAATGTCATTTCTGGGAATGTCATTCAAATGACATTTTCCAATTAAAAAAAAAGAGAGAAAGCAACTTGAAAAGAGGAAAAAAAATTGAAATAAATGGTAGGCTTCAGTGCGTTCAGTGCGTGTCTATTTTCTATCCCCAAAACTGGCAGTCAAAGTGGAAGATCTCATTTTTTCTGATTCTAGGAAATTTATAATTAAATAATTAACGTTTCATCACAATAACCATTTTGGATACTGCACATTAAGTCATTAAAAAGTTTGTTAAAATGATTCACTTTCTAGTTACTTTCTTATTACTCTCTTTTCCAACTTGCTCTCCATGTTGCTAGTAAATTTTGCTAGGGTACAATACCTGACGTTGGTATGCCTTTTGACATACAAATTGTGGAAGTTGTTGGTGTTTTCCAGCTGGCCTGCCTTGGGACCTTGCAGCCGCTGAATGATCTCTGCTTTCATTTCCATGGCAATGTGAGCAGGCAGTAAGGAAAGCAGGAGGCGCTCCTAAGATATGAAGTTTGGAATTTATTTAAGGAGAACCAAATTACCATGAGGACAACATTGTATGAGGCATATGCTTTTGTGAACACATTAGAACAGTTTTGTGAGGCAAGAGTTAAATAAAAGAGACATATTTTTTCCCAGGTCCCAGACTGACACATTCTAACTGTGAAAAATATTTCCTGAACTGAGATAGTAATATAGTATTTATAGGCAGTTTAGCCTATAGGCATGTAGCTAGGCAGCTACATACCAAAAAGGTCACTCTATTTTCATTTTTAATATAGTTCACTTGTTCTTGCTGGAAATATTTTGTGAGCCATAAAGAATGCTGGCAAAACCATTTTTCTTCCCCCATCATAACAGCCTGCAGGTTCTGCAGAGCTCATATTCTTGCAGGTTCAAACAGAGTGTGATGTTACTTGTACTAGTCAATAATTATTATTAATTAGTTAACGAAGAGCTCTTTCAGCACCAACTTCTCATTATCATGTTCCTGTTGTGTCTCATAGTGTCATGCTAACACAAGCTAGTAACTATCTCCCACCGACCTTGCAATGATGCTGGACACATGGCGATGGGGACCTGCAAATCAAGGTAGCCACTTACGCCTTTGAAACCAGAGAGGACTGCAAAGGCTTCTTGGCTTTCAACAGGAGGAGCAACAAAATTTAAGAAAGATAAAGTTTTTGCAGGAAATTATAAAAGCTATGAGCAAGAGAATCATAAGGGGAAAATGAAAATAGAGTGCCCTTGTTTTGTTGATAGCTACATGAAACACAGGACATTTACCCTCTTTTTCTCTCCAGGCCAGATCATTATCCCATTCTGCAAAAGATTCCCCATGAAATTGTTCACCAAATCACAACTCCCACCCAGAGGAACATTTTCCCTCCACCTTTTCAATTGTACAAGAGAAGGATTATGGTCAGACGTGACTTTACAAAACTGCATCTGGTGGAGCACACTGCAAAGTATCCCACCAGGTTCAGTTAAATGGTTCAGCCACCCTGGAAATTAGCATTTTACCAAGAAGCTGTGTAAACTCACACATGACATTTCAAGCATGTATACATATATTATATATATAAAAATGCATAAACTACAAGACAACTGTAAGAGATGCTGAATCACAGCTATTTATGAACACACTGGCTGAGCTGGTCAGCTAGCCAAATGCAAAACGGTTCTGAACACATTGTTCCCTCTTTCTCTGCAAGTATAAGAGCCTAAGAAAATCAGAATGTTTAAAAAAGGAAGAAAAACTTTTTTTTTTTTTTTTAATCTTTGGCAGCTCAGAATACATCAGAAGAAACAGGAACAATTCCTAATCAGGTTGTTTTTCTTGACGCTGTGCACTTAAATTTCTGCAGACTGGTGCAGTACACAGCAAATCAAGAATGCTGCTTAAAATGGCTTTTTATCCAGTAACACTTTCAGACTGATTCCATCAAAAAGATGGGAAACTTCAAAATCTGGGATGGGATACATCAAAATCCGGGATTGGATACATCAAAACCTAGGTGAACTGACATAAAAGACATTGACTTCATGGCAAATTCTATTTGTAGTCAATAGAAAAACCATCCTCAGAGCTACAGTCTGAAAGAAGAAAGTAAAAGTAAGAGTGAATGCAAGTCAAGATGATAATGCAGCATTTGAAAGTCTTCAGTCTAGAAAATACAACAGTACCTTATTTTGATGCAGCAGAAACACCACTATGGCAATGATTAAAATCCCCTCAAAAATGTCTTTGAGCCACTACTATAGCTGCTGATCGAGCTCCCTAGCTTCTGGAACTGAGGAGTTTCTGCAGTACCAGCCAAACCACGACCTAAGTTACTGCTCTCCCATATGTACACATCCAAATTGATTTGTTATTGTTTCCCCTGAACTATACCATTTATTTTACCAGTCATCTGCCAAAACTCCACTGATATTCCAGACATAAGAGATGTAAGACAGACAAGGGTCTTATACAAAGCCTTACAACCCAGTTAAGACGATGGTTCTCAAAGGGTCAACATAAGCAGTGACTCCATTCATTTGATGAAGAGACTACATGATCATTTAAATGAATTTTAATGATTGTTGAAGTGAAATTTCAAGACTGCTGAAGCCAGAAGCTGATATCAGAATTAGAAAATTAAAGCACATATACATGAATGAGAACATCACTTTCTCAATTCTCTCTGTCTGATCATTAAGGAATATGAGCTCCCATGTGATTTTTTTTTTTTTTTTTCAGAAGGCAGGTGCCAGGGGGCCGTAAGGGGCACAGCTGCTCCCAAGTCCAAGAGGAACCAGGAGCCAAATGTGAAAGCAGAGCAGGCAGAGGCCAGGGCCTCACCAGCCAGTGCCCAATCCTACAGAACCTCAGCCAGGAAGACCTGGGGAGAGCAGCCAGGGCGATCCAGAACTCCAGATCATTAGACAAGGCCATGATGAGGTGATGAGAAAGGTCCATAAACAAGCTGGGAAGTCAGTTGCAGGTCAGGGTCTACTAAATCAGAGTACCAGACCTACTAAAACACTTATCAAGAACAGAATTTGATACTACAAATCTAGGTTTTCATTAGAAATAAATGTATGCATTTTAAGGTTAAAAAGACCATTCTACACACTTAATGTGCCCTGCTCTTTTGCTGAATAAATCTCTATATGTTTAGTTAACATCCTTTGGCCCATCCAATAGTCCATTTTAATGGCAAGAAAAGTTACTTCAAGTAAAAGTTCGAGAAATTTGCTTCATCCAAATATAAAAAAATGAACCTACAGTACAGAATCTGTTCCACTCCTTGTGAAAGAGTGGCGATGCATTTTAATGATGTAAGCCATATATGTTAACACCTTTTCACTCAACAGAACTAAGTGTCTCCATTTGTTCCACAAGCCACTTCCGAGCCTTGAAAGAAGAGAAAGCTGACTCACCTTAGCTGGAAATCAAAGAGCAGGCAGGTCTCTAGAGGGTATACACTGCTATTGCATTTATAAAGCAGCCCTTTAGTTTCCTTACAATTTGCTAAACAAAAGGGAACAATAATGATTTTCATTACATCTATTTCTTCTCTTTTATTTATTTACACAATTCGTATCTTGCAGAAATTTCCCAGCCGCTCTTTAATCCTATGTTTCAATTATGTTTGTGAACTACTAAATTTGAAAAGTTTTAAATTAGAAACTATGATCCCGCTGGAAAATAAGCTTGAAAAGAAGAGTTTTGAAAATAATTTATTCTTATTTTGAGGAAGTTTACCAGAAAAAAATCAATAGCATATAGCATAAGTGACACACCACCCGTAAATGCTCATTTCTATTTCTCACTATACAAATCATAATTTACTCTAACTCATCACAAGGGCTAAAGCTTGCAGAAATATATTAGCTTTCCAAAACTCCTAAATAACTTTTTCGATGTTACCATGTCTAGCATTTTCAAAAGTGCTTTCAAAGTTATTTATTTAGGTATATAAAGATGCAGACATAACCGTGAGGACCATAGTCTCTTCAGGGGATGTAGGTACCTCCCATTTGGCATACCTGCAAAGAATGTTTCCAGCCGCTACCTGCATGTTTGGACAGGGGTACAATTTTGCTTGGATAACGTTTTGGCATATGATGGTTAAATTTTTGCACACAACAGTTTCTTTCCATTGCTCTTTTCATGTGCTTCGGAGCACGCTTGAGCTGGTTTCAAATGTCACAGAGAAGTCCATAATCTCCACAGGACCAATATTGCAGCCCACTGCTATTTACAGCCTGTAGCATCAGTCCATTACAGATTTGTAGCTACAAATGCTGCAGAAATGGGATGCCTGACTTAACAAATGCCATGTTTTTATGAATAATCCAGGGGCTAGACAATGCACAATGTCTGCAAGTGACCTAAGTTCAAACCAACTGTCTGCTAAAAGAAAACTCCTCTCTCTTCCCATAGTCATGGAAAGCTACTTATCTGTGAGCATGATGTTAATTTTGGAGGTAGATCCCTGACGGTCTTTTCAGATGAAAGTGATTTTCTTCCCAAAGAAATGAGTAAACAATCACAGGAACACAGACACACGGCATGGCTGAAGCTGGAAGGCACATCATCTCACCTAACCCCCCTGCTCAAGCTGGGTTGCCTAGATCACATTGCCCAGCACCCACACAACTTTTGAATATCTACAAGGAGAGAGGTTTTGCTCCCTCTCTGGGCAACCTATGGCAGTGCTCTGTCGTATCTTCAGATGGAGCTTCCAGTGTTTTTTTTTTTTTTTTTTTTAAAAAAAAAAGACTGGCAGCTTTTGGTGGAATCTTTTGGTCAGCTTTTTTTTTGGAAACTATTTCAACAAGGGATCTATATAAATTGTGCTCCATCAAACCAAGCGTGGTCTAAAGTTTGAATAAACTTTCTCACTGATGCAGCAAGGTTAAGCCGTTATAGTTACACCTAATCCTGCCAGGTTTGCAGCTCACACACTGAGCAAATTCTAGAAACGCTTTGGGGACAAAAGGTTCTTTCACACTCAGGTGATGCAAGTGAAGCTTTCATTGCAAAAGTCCACATTTAGTCCACAAAAAATTCTAGTAAAGGAATGACACCACACATACACAGGCAATTCTTTAACACATTACAAATAGAGGCCTGCATCTTATCTGACTGGTATGATTGATATCTGCTGTTCTCCTGCATCCTTTTCCTTGTGTTATCTCCAGAGAAGCCTGGAATTATCATCTGGGATTGTATGCAAAAATATTGGCCGCTTTTCCACTGGACCGAGTGCATCCTTCTTTGGCCACCCTCCAGCTCTTGCAGCAGGAAAAAAAGTCTTGGCACTTAGGACAGAAATAGCCACCCAAAGCAGGCACCTCACATCATCTAGCACATCTACTTCCAAGTTTGTTTTTCTCTCCACAGTAAGAGTAACATTAATAAAAATGTCCTTTGCTGGTTTCAGCAAACTTCCTAATCAGTAAATTCAGGTTTGCAATCTTCAAATGTCTGTTTTTCAGCATCTAAC